ATAATTCTTGCATGCTTTAGAGGCCGTTTTCTGGCCAGAAGTAAAATTTGTTGCTGGTTCAAAGTAGGCTTTGTTGAGATCTGAAACTGTGGAAATACGCGCACACAGAAATATGTGCACTCAAAAATCTGAACAAAGAATGAGCAGAAATTAATAACAGCTCTGTTGCTGTAACCTCCAAGTTGTTTATTAATTATTCCAAAGAATCATCATAGTTTAAATTACAGTAGTATAATGCAACTTACCTGAGACCAAAGCTCAGCTTTCATTTTTTCAATGCGCTCTTGTATCTCTGCTTCCTTCCTTTCACGCTCCTCTTGTTGAATGCTTGCACCAATCTCTGTACAACCAACAAATGGGGATCACACACAGCAAATAACCAGAATGCTGAAAACTCTGCCTTCTCCTCTCATTGCTTTGTTTGGTTCTACAACTAAGTTAAACATTAAAAGGCTAAAACCCATGCAGTTTAATTTCACATACATTTACATGTAGGTAAAGATTTGATAGATTAGGTGGTTCCACAAATGCAATAATACAAGTTGGTCTTTAAAAAAGGGCCTTATGGAATTAGGATAGAGTCCTGGCTCAGAACTTAAGCATAATTAAATCTGCCTTCTGAAGGTGTAAATTTTAACATTCCAAAGCTGAGGAGGATGCTCAGATGCCGTCATGCTGCTCTTGGAGCACACAAGAAATTATGGTATGATACACATTTTTTAGGTGTTTGGAACAGAGCACAAACATACAAAAAAAACTCCTTTGCCTTTGGGACTGCTGGACCCAAGGAAGGCCCAGAGCAGTGGTGCCAAGAGCACAACTAATCCCTCCTGGAAAGAAGGAATGGAGCAGAAAGAATTGAACCATGCCGCTGCCCTGAGCATAAGATGGGGGTTGCTCCCTTTGTCAGCACAGTGGGGAGTCTAAATAAAATATCAGACCACCATCTCTTCCTGCTGATAAAAGCGAGCAGACAGCCCTGCTTGTTCAGGTCAGTCTTTAGCACCAAGGGTTGCCCAGAAGAGAAGATGCTGGAGAGAGATGGATAAAGTTGACTTCCTGCAATGCAAAACCCCACCTCAAAAAGGGGACTTCGGATCCTCTCCCTTTCCTACTCAGTGTCTTGCCTAAGCATTGCCTTGGATCCCATTCTCCACGCTTGAAAGGGCTGAAGAGTCACATATTCTTACCCTAAATTATTAAGAAAACAAAAAAAAGGACCAGAGCTTTCAAACAGCCAGTACAGGGCTGAATCTCCCTCTTTCGATCTTCCTCTCCAATCTTCCCCACTTTACAGGTGGGCAGAGCCCTTTCATGGAGCTAACATGAAGTACATGGAAAAGGGTAGAAGAATGAGACAAGGAGTCAACTGATTTAAATTAGCAAAATAAACCTAAGTCCAACAATGTGGAAACCTTAACAAGAAGCACGTTGTACCCAGGCTGCATAGCTTTTCCCCAGTTCATTATACTAAGCAGTAACAAGAAATAACTTTAAAAGAGTTCCTATAGCTTTCTGGACATGTTTTACATTGTGTATGTCAATGCAGTTGCCTCCTGAGACATACCCAGCATTCACCCCATTCCTCTCAGCACACTGACAATCTCCTGCTTGTTTAAAATAGAAACCAAACACATTCCTATTGCAACATGTGTTAATTAAAATTCACAACACAATTTCTACAAAACTTTATACCAGTGATCAGAAACTCCTATGATAATTAGGCATAGCTTATAAAGATGCTTCAGGCTTGTGTCAGATCCTCACACATAGGAATGCGACCATATGTTTTCCTTCATCTTTGAGGTTACAATCCTGCTATGCCAGAAAAACCAACCCTCAGCTTTGGAGTGTTCCTACCAGCATGCTGTATCATTCTTTGGAGCAGTTTGTCAGATGCTTAGCTCTTTCCTACAGTTAATATAGTGAATATGCTGCTTCTTTAACTTGTGTTCATGTTTAAGTTGTGCTATGTGTAACACAAACATAACATTGAGATTTAGGATGATAATTGCTAAAATAGCAGGATGAAAGACTCTTTTTGTTCATAATCCTATCAATAGCAATGGAAAAATCGGTTTTGACTGAAAGGTTTGAACTTGGCTCAAGTGATGGTCAACAACCAGACTCAGGTATGAGAAGGTGGGATTCAGGATGCAGCAGCCTAGCTGTAGAAGAATGAGGGAATGTTGCCAATGTCAGCCAAGTGAGCCTTAGAAAACATTTGCTAAGACTTACAGCTAATTCTGCTGCACACTTCACTGTGCACAAATCTGAATGCCTTCATGCACCACAGGACAGCTGACCCTGCCTCCCTCTGAATATGCAGGCTTTAAGTGTATTCAGAAGGTTGCTGCAATTTTCTCACCAAGACAGCCTTCATGAGTCTTAGATATAGAAGCACTTCGAGTTTTCCTAATTCTCAGAGTGTGAAACAAGGCTTTCAGAAACAAACTCACCCAGTATATCACGATGAGTGTAGTACCGCGTCCTGAAAGGTTTGTACTCCCGAATCCGATCAAAAGTAGCGTTAGAAGGTGGCGGTGGTATTATTTTTGAACATACAGCACAGCAAACAAAGGAATCCAAATCTGTGCTTCTAATCATTGTGGTGTGCTAGTACTTTTCTGCAGTGCGGTTATTGAACTGTTAGAACTCTACTCTGGATAGATCTCTTGCTGGCAGGCCAAGTCCTTATTATTGCTACAAAAAAAAACCATGCAAGCCAGGGATGAGTGGGAAGCCACTGACTTGTACCAAGTTGTTGGAAACGTTTGCCTTCAGATTGAGATTCACATGCTGCCAGCTCAGTAACGCACAGAAGATGCAGGCAGATGAGGGAGGTTTGTGTGGAATGACCCCTTCCAGCCCTGGTACAGCCCCTCACATAGCAACTGTTACCAGGTGGGACTCTGTGCTCACAGAGCTTGCCTGCTAATAGTTCAGCAGCGGCACAGCAGGCTTTGGCTTTGTAGTGCAGCTTTTTGTTGCTGGATGTCAACAATTTCCATTCAAACCGTGTACTCGGAGATTTTAGGAGCAGAACAATAGCTGCTGCTTCAGATGTCTGAATCACAGCATTTTGTTGCTGCTATTGGAAAAGATGAGAAAGTCAGCACTGAAGATATGGGACGGGCAAGGAGCTGTAAAAGCCTCTGCATGGAAAATCATTCTGACTCGGTTCCTGTCAAATCAGCTATCATCTATTGTAAATATTTATTACTGCACTGAAAATGAAATTGAGGGAAACAGGGCAAAAGAGACTGTCTCAGCGCTGTTTGCTTATCCTCCAGGTGCACAAAGGGAGCAGTGCTTTCGGTGTGAACAAATTTTACTACTAATGTAGTTCCCCTTGGGTGTATTTTTTTGCTTAAATCCCAATTTACACGTCATTGTTATGTGTATGAATCAAGTAACTAAAATGGCAAATGCCAGTATTAATACTATAGTGACCGTTAATTGGGTACATTCTTCTCTGCATTTGCACTGCTCTAGCTCCTAATTATGTATCATTTTTTGTAGCATTAAGGAAGTCACTTTTATGCAAATAAATATGGAGAAGATACTTAAAAATAAGAACAAGTCTCAACATTCACTCGTCCAGTCTGGGCACCATCAGCCTTGCACCCTTCTTCACTTCCTTTCCCCCCACAACTTCCAGATCCACAAAATGTAGGTCAAAATTTAAGAACTCAAATCCCATATTTTTCCCAAATATGTGAAAATGAGACAGAATGGGCTTCCTCACTTTGAATCATCTGCATGTAGAAGGATCAAAGTGTGTATTTAAAAAGCGCACAGAAAAGCTGAAGTCCTTTTTTTGTGGCATCTTGTAATCATTTAGTTAAGTTCATGCAAACACACAAGACTCACACGTTAATGGCTAGCATCCTGTGTAGCCCTTCTTGCAAGACTAATTCTAATGACCCATCACCTCCTATTTAAAAAGAAAACATGTTCTACAGGATATGCAGAGCATCTGATGGCTCTGAGTATTCAATTTACCTAGAAATTCTTTCACAAACCACAAGGCAAGCCCTCTCCTTACCTGCATGCTTTTGGATTAGCTCTAGGCCCTTGCTGTAGGCTATCAGAGGGGAATACATTTTAAAGGCTTTCTAATGCTTTCCTATAGCTCACTTCCCCTCTCATAAAGGAGGCAGTTAACCAAAGTCCAGCCGAATTTAGCATATTGACAATTACAAAACAGGACAGGAGAAAAATCAAAAGTTCAGAAGGATTTAGATGGAGATAGAGGGAAATTCCACAGTGATTCTGCTATCCCTCAAGGTAGTCCGTCACCTTTTTGCTATCTTCAATATTTTTTGTCCCACAAGTAATTCCCAAAGTAGCAAAGCAGATGCCATTCACATGTCCTTTCTTCCTTGGCACAACCGAAGCCACCTTGGCCAGGAGGGTGTTAGCAAGGAGGCGTCTCAACTTCTTGGGTTCCCTTGATGTCAGTGTAAATATGAGAAGCTGAATGGGAAAAAAAATGCAACCAGATCAGTAGCAAGGGTTTGAGGTAGAAATAGGCCCCGGACTGGTATGCAGCACCCACCACACATTCTGGTCTGCCAGAAGTGTCAGACACAGACAAAGCTGGAGAAGCACAGGGTAAGGCCTCAGTGCTGGAACAGGGAAGTACCCACCTGCAAAGCTTGCTCAAAGCAAAGTGGAGCAGGAAGGCTTGTATGGGCCCACCTCCCACGCTAAGGAAATGTTACAACTGCCTCCCTCCAGCCAATCCCACAGGGCACCATCTGATAAGGATCTTCATCAGATCTTTTCACCTTAAAATTACTTTTACTTGCAACCTTGCAATGATCACCTTTCAAAAGATCAAAAGACCAACGTTTTCTTTTCACACAATGCATTATGTACTCCACTTTAAATAATCCCTGTTTTCACTTAGTGAAAGCAAAGAGGAAAATGAGTTGAACCACATGAATTTCTAAGGCATTTACCAGTCTAGACATACTATAGAGATCACAGACAACAATCCTTAAAATCAATTTTATGTTTGTATGTATCTTAATTACAATTTATTTGTACAGCCATGGTATTTTATAATGGAACTTATACTGGATTAAAAGACACAAGAGAGACTTAACCATGATTTTAACAGACAGAGGAAAAACAGTAGTTTTCAGCCATGAGAAGTTCTGTGGCTGATTTGCTTATTTCCTTCCTTATGTCATCAGTCCCACTTGGAAGTTTTTCTCCTCGTATACCTGGACCCCTCACTGTCAACTGCTTCGTAGAGATCCTTTTTATTCTCTACTGTTGCGTGCAAATAACCAAGGTAGGCCACGCAGAGGGTAATTGCTACGAGTCCAAATGCCATCACAGGTTTGTTCTGACAAAAAAAAAAAACAAAACAACAGCATGCATTTTTAGTCAAAATATTCTTCATCCCTCACAAGCATTACATTCTTCAATCTTAGTTTACAAAGTCAAGAGTGAACTATTGCGATATCAGAACTCACCATTGCCTTCCTTTAGACTGACCTAAGTGAGTTTGATAAACAGCAAGAAGGGAGAAATGATTTTCTGGAAGCAAAACAATTCTCTCTAAGAAAGAGGTCTCTCAATTTCCAGAGGCATTGGCCTCTGTCTTTCACAGGTTGCAAATGCTTTCACAGGTTGCAAATGCTGCTTGAGCATGAATGAACTGGTCACAGCCAAATATTGAAGGTTACTACAACAAGTTTCAAACGGAAATTATCTGGATATTCTGCTGAAACAATGTGCTCTGCTCCTGCCAAGTGGCATTCATTGTATTTCCCTAAAAGAGATCACTTATCATCACCACAAAAGCTACCTGTCCACAAGGTTTCATCTTGTCTTACTGACACCACTGGATTCTGCAAGTGTAAATAAAGGCAGAGTATCATCAACTTAATTATAAAAGCAAATGCTGTAGCAAAAAATATTGGTGAATACATTTAAATCACACTGCTATCCCTCTAAAAGCCTTTTCAAAGTACTCTGCCATGTCACCATCTTTCATTACATTTAAAATAATTATAATGCATTCTGAGTGTTAAGCTTGCATTTTAGGATTTGGACCACTTCAAATATGAAAGAGAACTCCTATTACTTAATCTGTCAAATTACAAGTAACCACAAATTTCTCTCTGGAAGTGACTTGGTACAAAATAATCAGACAATGTAATAGTGAAATGAAAGTTGTAATAAACAATGTTAAGCTTTGGGCTCGTTGACAACCAGAGTAGAAAAAAAGCAAAAATATTTTTGGTTACGTTACAGGGTTTGCATAACAAGAGACTGTAAGATAACACACACCAAATTGCAACTATTGTTTTAAAGCAAACGTGCCTCTAAACATATTTAGTTTCTCTCAGCAAGAGCCTCTTACAGGCTTAATGAAAAGCTCCGGGTTCACAGCTCGGAACAGAGTGGTTGTTCGGGCAGCCCTCAGTCCTGGATTTCTCTCTTTGGGCGTTTCATTTTCATTCGGAGTTTTGCTGGAAGACATGTCAGCTGATGATGAATGCTTCCTAAAAACAGAATTAAATATATATATGTGATATATATATGTATAATTAACTAAAAGAAGTACATTCACAGAACATGCACTCAGCTTGTCTTCCAACACAGCCTTCTCTTAGCACACGCACTACCGACTGACTTGGCTGTTATTACCTCCAGCCGAAGCACACTGACTTGCAATCAAATCTGATTAACTTTCAGATTTTGCATCCTAAAACACACTGTTCGAGGTGCTTGTATTGCAAATGTATTTCTACTTGTAACAGGCCTGTATTTTTATTTATGTATTTTTACTTCTTAGGGTAATGCTTTTGCTACCTACGGGCCACTGCCTGAAAAAAACACTGCCACAAGAAGCCATCAGCACACATTCTTTTTTTTTTTTTTAACCTTACACGTGATGGAATAGCCTTCTTTCCTTAGTGGTGTGGTCACCACCACCACCCGAAGGCTCCAGTCTCATTTTCACACACAAGGGCACGAGGGATGACGAAGGACACCTAAGCTACGGCGAGCAGGATCTCTAATGCAGCCCAGCAGGCACAGGGCGCTGAGGCCGCCTCGCCCCGCAGCCCACAGGGATGTCGCACACGGGAGAGGCCTTTCGGCTGCGGCAGGCTTCCGAGAGGAAACCCCGCAAGGAGCGAGGCCCGGGAGCGCGGCCTCAGCTACTCTCCTCACAGCGGAGAGCGACCGTTAGCGCTCGCGACCAACGGCCGCCGCTCCACGCGCGCGCACTCCCTCCTCTCCCCCGTCCCCCGCCGCTACTCACCCCGCGCCGCTGACGGGGCCTGACCCCGGGGGGAGGGGAAAGAGGAAGGGCGGGGCGGGGCTCAGCGACGGCGCCCCCTCGTGGTCGGAGGCCGCCGGAGCGGGAGGGGGGGGGGTGAGGAGGAGGAGGTGGGACGCCATCTGCTCGTCGCCGAGCTATTGTTGTGGCGGCATATGCTGCGCGGCTGATTGCGTGTACCATTGAGTAGGGGAAAAAAAAGCTACTAAAAAAAAGCTACAGTGTGGGTTGCTGCTTTCGTTTGTTTGGGTGCTCGTGTAATTGGAAGGAGTCATACCCAGTTTTAGCGCAGGAGACATCTGCACTTAAATCCCGAGCCGCTGACGCCTTCCGCACGGGGACGGGAAACGTTTACATCGCCGCGCTGAGGAGCGTCCTCCCTCATCAGCACTCGCTCCTCTTCCCAACCCTCCGTGTCATTCGCTGACCGCAGCCACGCAGGGCCAGCCTGCTGGCAGTACCGTTTTCCAGGCGGTGGTAGGATGGGTTTGTACCAGAACAAGCCTGCCTGAGAATGCAGCCGCTTCGCCGTCAGGACGGTGGTATAAATGCTGTCAGGCTGCTGATCGCTCGCCGTGATCCAGATCAGCGAAGAAAAGCTGGGGCTGCGCGCTGTTTCCAGTTGTGCTTCCCGACTGTGGGATGTGCCTGATTTACCGACTGTGTCCGAGCCAAAAGGATGCTGAAAATCTCAGTCCATCAGTGCTTATAAACTTGTCCGAATCTTTTTATAGATGGTGTTGTTTAAAGGATAGAACTGCAAACATCTCTGAGTCTTTACGAGTCAGCCCTCATCTTATTATCCGAGCATCTCTCCTGAAGAGTAAACACACACACGCACAATTCTTCCTTTTCGAAGCCTAGTGCTGTTACCGAGCTTTATTTCCCCTTTAAACGAATTCCTTTGGGATTCCGCATTCAGTACCGTGCTGTACGCTGTGACCATTCAGAACCTAACGGCAGCTCCTGCTTCTGGCGGGACTCACGTCCCCTCATTGTTCGAGCCGCCGAAGAGTCTCGGCGGAGGACAGAACAAACCTGATAGCGTAACCCGCAGACGCGGTTGGCATGCAACAGCCAAGCTAATGCGTGCCGCCGCATCTTTGCTGATTCACCTCACAGCTCCTGCTTATTTCAAGCAGCACAAAGGCAGGGCTTTGAGCTGTCTTCAGAATGACGATAGGACGCCTCGAGCTACCGATGAGCTGATCCTTATTTTCGATGCACGCGGTTACAGATCGCAAAAGAAAATCTTTTTGCGTGTGGAGCAGAATGGCCATGCTGAGGAAATGAATGCAGAAGAAGAAATAAACAGGTCTCCAGCGAGACAGAGGTGCCGCTGAGAGCTGTCTGTGTGTTTGCTGCTCGACTCGGGAAGGTCTCAAGAGTCCTTGTGCCACTTTTCAGCTGCTAGCACTCGTTCGCACCCTCTCGTTGAAAGAGGACAGAGTTTTCAGACAGCAGCAGTTGTCAGGAACCTACTGCTGATGAACCAAAGTAGTTTTAAGGCAGTAAATGTGTTAAAAATGAAAATCTGTTCAAGCAAATCTTTTGTGTTTCATAGCATTATGTACATGCCTTTTAAAACGACGATTAACAGCTTTGTCTTGAAGAGACAGAAAAATCACCCAGCCGTGCTTTGCATCCCAAATTAAAGCAATTGTTATTCTGCAAATACTGATCAAGCTTAATTTATTTTATTTTATTTTATTTTATTTTATTTTATTTTATTTTATTTTATTTTATTTTTTGTCTGAATACATTGTGGAAGAGAAAATATACCTTGGCGGTACTTTCATTAGTGAGTGGGCAAACTGTTTCCAGTTGGAAACACAATGATACAAAAACATAAGGCATCCTCTTTGGAAGGCAAAAGCCAATTTTTCCTGTAAAGAAAGAGCAGAGAAGTGTCCGCAGCGCTGGGTTTTCCCTATTGTACACTGCTTGCTCTGATATAGGCACCTTTCATTTTGGAGACAGGCAGCACGGCTACTGGGAAGACTCCAGAGGTAGGAACTTCAGAGGTCTGACAGAAAGAATGCACGGTGAGGGGCTCTGGCTGTGCCATCTGTGAGCTCTTCAGACTTCCTACATTTTACTTGTCTCTTACAAACACCACCCCATACCAAAATGCAGCAGGAAGAGCCAGTGCCTACTATTTGGGTATGAGGTTGGATAGAGCTATAACTGAGAGAGGAAAGAAAGGAAGTAAAGAAAAACACCTTTGACATTTAACCAGTTTGATAATAACCATGCAGTTCTGACTAATAGGACAAATGGGCTGCTGCGGATTTTTTCATTTTTTTTTACCCCTACCTCTATAGAATCACAGAACCACAGGGTATCCCAAGTTGGAAAGGACCCACAAGGATCATAGAGTCCAACTCCCAGCTCCACAATGGACCCTCAAAACTCAAACTCTGTGTCTGAAAGTGTTGGCCAAATGCTCCTGGAACTCCATTAGCTTGGGGCTGTGCCCACTGCCTTGGGCAGCCTGTGCCATGCCCATCTCCCTCTGCTGAAGAACCTTTCCCTAACCCCCACTTATCCTTCCCTGACGCAGTGAATTCGGGCTTTCTGTTCCTATTAGTAATGTGACTGAGAAATATAGCCACATCCCAGATAAAAATGACCAAATAGAATAGATCAAAGAACTGACACTTGTTAAGATGCTCTAGGACAGGACATACACATTTGTTCAATTACTTAGTCATTAAAATAAAACTGTGGGCTTTCTGTCAAAGAGCAGACATGGTGGCATTCAGGGTTCTTAGGACTTCTGTATGACTTCTGAAATGCTACCACAATTCTGTACAGCAATTAGAAGTTTTTCACATGAACAGAATTAAAAATAAATACATGTAGACACCACACTAACAAGAGGACCCAATATTTTCCAATGGCCTCTTTCGCTATTTTAGTGCAGCAGTAAAGTTAATAATTGAAGAGCATGAGTTTGATGAGACAAAAGCCGGTAATTATGGAGTATCTGAAATGGGAAGCCAGCTAGATTCTTCAGTGAATTCATGCAAGAATCACATATGAAAGGCAAGCTCTGCATGGATATGCAGTATGTGCATGTGTTCACACAGGACTGGTACAGCCATGCTTCTTCTTGGCTTGCAGGCACTGGGCCTGCCCCTGTCTCACAGGCATTGCTGGTCACTGCCCACAGCTCTGCCAAGGTGAAAGCACAGGGTGTGCAGCTTCTGCTTTTAGTGGTTATTGATGTATTATCACTGGGTATGGATGAACACTCAGAGGACGCAGATAAAAAAAAACCTTGTGACTTTAAACAAATGCATTAGTTTCCTTGTGTCTTTCCAATTATACCAGGCATGTTCAGGTTCTGGTTTGAATGGTGTGCCAGAAGGGATGATCAGGTTTCATCATTTAGTTTATATTACCTAGGAGACGAGCAGTTTCCATTTTCAGGGCTTCAAGCAGCAACTCCCTTTCTTGGAAATGAACAGCTGATTGCTAATGGAACTAGAAAATGGGGGGCAGTCAGCTGTAATCACTCACTGCTATACAGGTAAGTTAGAGTTTCTTGTCACAGAATACAATGAGAGGTTGTTTTTCTAATGTTAGCCTTGATAACAGCCTCATGGAAGCCTCCCATCTGCCAGAACAAAACACAGAAGTAATCCTGCTCTCATTGTCTTGCTGGTAACTACCAAAGAGGTACAAACTTCAGAGTAGCCATTGATTAATGACTTTTTGTTTCTACTGCTTGTTCAGGTGGAAATCTTTTGATTTTGTCCATTCATTTTTATAAGATTTGTCAAAAACCTTACATTAGTAGCCTGAATGAAGCTGTGACACTTATTATGGCTGAAGATCATTTGCTGCAGAGGGAGTTTTTGTCTGCATGGGAGAGATGAGAGATCTATTTGGCATAAAGTTGGTAGAAAATGCTGCCACAGTTGTGTTGGTTGCATACAGACACCACAATTTTCTTAAGTCATTTTAGATTCCTCTGAGATTAATATTTTTAAAATTATATAATTTAACAAAATAACAAAGAAAACAGTAAACTGTGTCTGCCCTCTCTCAAAAAGCATTCATCTGCAGTGGCGGACAGACCACAGCAATTAGCAGCTGGCAAAGCATCACACCCAGCAGCTGCTGGGCTGTTAAGTGGTGTTTGTGGTTTTCCCAAATACAAAACAAGCTTCTACTAGCTGTAAAAAAGAACACCAAGCATGCTTGAGCTTATGAAAACTGACTGAAGATGTAGTCGGTATGTGATATTTTCTAAGAAATGGATGTTTGACTGCTAAGGGACTGAAGTCCAGAAAGGAAAGGGATTTGTCCCAAGCCACGCAAAGTCAGGTGGAATCCCAAACCAGCCAGGTGATCCATCTCCTGTGTAGTCTTCTCTTTCCTAGTGAGAAGCTAAAATAAATAAATAAGATATGGAAGATGAAGGCAACGGACTGGGCTTTTCTTAGCTCTGGACCTGGTGTCCTGGGTGATGTGGGGTAAACATCACCTCATGGATATCTCCTCCTCCACAGCATGGATTCCCCTGCCTAGGTTAATGGTGTTTTCAGGAGAAGGCTCCATGTCTCATTACATTTTAATGAAGAGTTCACAACAATGAAATTCAATGCGAAGAGTCTATAGACCACTCTTCGTTGATCATGGGAGAAAAGCAAGCTATAGCCAGTACCTTTACACGTGTTGTCCAGGGGCCTCCACTTCCAATGGAAGTATCTAAAATGAACTGGGCTGGGAAACCTGTGCTTGCATCAGTCTGAGGAGCATGAGGTCTTCTTCACTGCAGCAAGCAGCTGTCCAAGCAAGCATGACCAAACCGCAGAGCAACGGGGCTGTCTTTGCCAGGGCTTATCAGAATTATACGCCTTATCCAGCTTGTTTCCAAAGAGCCTTAAAAAGTGATATGTAGCAGTACAACACACCCCTTTATTCATTTCATAAGAAACGGTTTATGTGAACAAAGTTAATTTTTCTGACCTCTCTGCATTCACTTGTTGGTTCTTACATAAGGGCCTGGAAATCCACTTGCAATGGAACTCTTACTGTTGATCAAGAAGCAAAGGCACTGCAAGGTGAATGACTTCTGGCAGCAGTTCAGCTCCTATTGCCAGTGCTCAAGTGAGAGCTGGTGTGTGTCCAGCTTGGTGAGGTGACTTTGAATGGAGCTAGACCTCTGTGTTCCTAGGGGATTTCTTGCTGCCTCTTCTTCTGCAGGACAGCATTGGGATAGATGCTGGGGTGGCAGTGGAGCTTCCATAAACTTAAGAACAAGCTGGACAAAATTCTGTCAGGGAGAGCTGTAAGCGTGACAAAGCATTCTTATGGTCAGAGAATGAAGTAAATCTGTGCTTCCCAGCCTGTGGACTTTAGACTGCTGCTAGGTAGGAGCGAAGCTGTGGGAATTCCATGAAACAAGCACAAAGAATCAGCAACAATGACACACTTCCTTATATCGGCAAACAAAATAAGGGAAAAATGCAATTACAGAATGAAGATTCAAAGTTAAGTTTTATTATTTGTTTATTTACAGAAACCTTTGTGCCTATGCTTTTGTCTTCCTTTTCTCAAAGCACTGAGCTGATCCTTGGTGTTTTAAAAGAAAAGTGCTGAGATCATGCTTTTATTAAGTTATATATGCATATATGTATATACATATATATATATGTATAAAAGCTAGAGACACTGACCTCTCAAGATCTCTACCAACTGTGCTTTTTTATGATCTTATGTTTTCCTCTGTGATTCTCTGTTCCTATTCTCTGCTTTATTTGACACTGCTTATGGATCTTTCCCTGTCAAGAAAAGAAAAGCTTAAGTATAACAAGAGAGGTATAACAAAAACACTTGATTAGCAGTGTTTATATCAGAAAAAGAAAGTGATTTTCCATCTCAGCCTGCAAGGCTAGTTCTGTTTCCCTGTGCAGGAGCCACAGACACACAGTTCCCAGGCACACATTCTTCCTGCTCTTTCTCACCCTTCCATCTCTATTTCCAGTAACATGGCAGTTTGTCCTGTAATTTGCCTACTTGCTCTGAACTGTCTAGCCCCTTTGTGCTCATAACACTTTGTACACTTTCCCCACTTCTTCTTAGTAGGGTTTGTTTTTTCTTTCTTACATTTTCTTACCTTCTTTCCCCATTTTCCTCTGTGCAAAGACAGGTTTTCTGCTTTTAAAGTAATTAAATTAGCAGAGCTGATTGAAATCTAGAGGGATGCTTTATTCCATGCACATTACACAACCTTCTCTAGACCTCACTGAAGGATAGATAAAATTATTTTCTACATTCAACAACAATGGAGTTAACTCATATTTGATATGTTCAGCAACAGTGGCATTACTCAAACACTTTACCCATTAAATTTCATTCCATGCCCCCAGAGTTGATGGAGCATTCAGATCACTCAACAGAATATATCTGTAGGGTTCAGGGAGCAATGCAAGTCACTTCTACAACTGAGGGGAACATGGGGTGCCAAAGGTTTTCTGGTTGCCTGTGTCTCACCACAGGATGTGTGTTGGTGGTTAGGGCTGTCCAAGTCACATCCAGGGGAAAAGTGATTCATGAGAGGAGGAGAAAGAGGGGACATTACCTGTGCTAGTCCCAGGCTCATGGTAGAAGCCCAGGAACTTGTTTTCATCCTCATTCCTGGTACACCAGGTAGAATGAAT